TTATCATCATCATCATCATCATTATCATCATCATCATTATTATTATTATTATTTTCCCTTTTCTGTTCTATTAAACTGTCTTTATCTCAACCCATGAGTTTTTCTCGCTCTTCCCCTTCCGATTCTCTCCCCGTCCCGCTGGGGGTGGGGGGAGTGAGCGAGCGGCTGCATGGGGTTTGGCTGCCTGCCAGGTTAAACCACGACAGTCCTAAATACTATAATTGCATATGTCACCAAAACACCAATTAATATATACGGATTGCTGTATTTCAAAATCTAAACAAGATTCAGTGGAGGAGAGGACAGAGCAGTCCTGAAATCCTGAGCATGGACTTCTCTCAGACCGCAATCTCCCTGCCTAGGCTGGGAGCACTACGTATTAATTGTCTGCCAGCCATGGGCCTCCACAGATTACTCCTGCTACTGACGATCTCAGTCTCCAAACCCTCTGCCTTCCCTCCCGGGCCTCCCCTTCTGTCCTTCCCTGCTTCTTCCAACCTCACCCTGCACTCACTTTAAATTCTCCTCTTTCCTGCCCGACCCCTCTGCACTGACCACCCCACCATCCCCAACGCCATCCCAAATCAGTGATCTCCAACCTGCTCAAAATGGATTCCCCTCTGGGCTCACCAAGCCTTCCCTGCTGTGGCCAGCCTCCATCCCATCCCCTCTGTCCTGGCCTCTCCACTACTCTCCTCGCCATCCTGCTTCGCTCCTCTTCCTACCACTTTGTTCAGATATTGCTGCCCACAGAATACACTTGTTCCCTTGTCCCTTTCGCTCTCTCCCTTCACCCCACAGTCAGACCCACTGACGACAGACCAAATTTGAGATGCCAAGTGTTGGCAGAAACAAGAATAAAACATCAGTAACTTTTGAATAAAATTTATTTCCAGGTTACAAAAATGTTGATGATGTAATTTGTCCTGTTGATGTCCTGCTTTTCAAGTCAGCTGGGCCTTACTGTGGTTAGGGAAACCTTACTGTGGTTTGAGTCTTCATGGTTAAAAACCTGAAGAAAAGTCACTCTCTTCTTCTTTTCTTTTTTTCTTCTGTTTTTACAAACTACAGAAAGCATTTGTGTATGCAGATGAAGATGAAGGTCGTCCAGCAAATGACTGCCTATTAATATATGATCATGAAGGAGTCGGTACTCCTGTTGGCTCTGTGGGCTGCTGCAGCTTTATTGGAGAAGATACAGACGAAACGTATTTGGATACATTAGGACCAAAATTTAAGACCCTGGCAGAGATCTGTCTGGGCAAAGAGATCGAGCCTTTCCCTGATGTCAACCCGCCCTGGCCATGCGTTAACGTCACCTTTCCCAACCCTGAAAGTGATCTAAACCTCCCGCCACCTGGAACCACCATCATTGTCAACGGATGTGCACCTATGCCTCCCCCAGTTGGCACTACAACAGTTGTTACTGAAAACACCTACACATCTGGGTCAACCATACAGCCCCCGAGGCCGATGCCGGATCCTTTGCTCCACGGCAACATGACGGTGACTGAGACCTACACCTCCGGCTCCCCCTCTCTTTGCGTTGACCCTCTGCGTGCATCCAACGTTGTTGTAACAGAAAGGGTTGTCGGTCCTGCATCTGCCTCTGATTTGCGTGGCATGCTAGATATCCCCGATCTCGCAGATGGGTCCAATGTTATCGTCACGGAAAGAGTAATCGCGCCTAACTCCCGGCTCCCGACCTCTCTGAGCATTCCCGATTTGGTAGACGGGTCGAATGTGGTGGTGACAGAAAGGGTGTTCAGGCCTGCCTCCGGCATGCCAGGCAGCTTAATAAATATTCCCTCGGAGTTATCAAACGCCCACAACGTGGTGGTCACCGAGAGGGTAGTGTCAGGGTCTGGGATGAGCAGCCTAGGGGGGACAAGCTTAGGGGGAGCAAATCTGGGGGGCCTGAGCAGCACGAGTCAGATGCTCAGCGCCGACTGTCACCTTGGCCAGGCAATGGGCACGGCGTCCCCGGGCACCTCCCGGAGAAGAGTGACAAAGTACAGCACTGTGCAGTACTCCAGTCAGTAAGACCTCTGCCGGCACCCCTTCCTGCCGAAATAGCCATTTGCACCAACACTCGCTAGCTGCCACCCACCAAGAATATTGTTATTATTTATAACTAGGAAATAGCGCTAAAGTTTCAGGGATTCCTACGTGTGTGAGGATCTCCAAAGGGTGCCCCGTTTCAAGGTCAAAAGCAGGACTTTGTCAGTGAAGGGAAAGTTGAAGTTAGCTTTAAATTTATTTCTTTCTCTCCACCTAGAACTACAAGTGTACAAACAGATACTCATGTTTTTGGAGAGAGACCTGATTATCAAGCGGAGCAGTGAGAGGGGATCCTTGTGTGCATACAGTATCAGCATGAATTAATGTCATATAAAAAAGTGTTAAAATACTGTACTGCTGAGTGATCTCCCAAAATAAGTAGATTTGGGTTAATAGCCCCTCACTGACAAGACAGGAAAAGAATGTACTTAATAATTAGTCAACTCAAGACTAAATAAGCACTTTCAAATGCATCACTTCACTTTGCATGTAATTCAAGGAGCGCTACAAAATGGCACTTTCAATCGTTTCTCCCATCACCAGCAATAGTTATAAATAATAATCATATAAACACAATACATTTTCATCACTTTCTGAGGTTCTCAGTAAAACAAACACTCTGCCACGGCCTGCCATGTTGATACTCTCATGGCGAGGAGCGTGACCAGCAATTTGCCGCAGCTGGCACTGCCGCGTTGACACCATCACCCAGGAAGATCTTGGCTTCATATTTTCTCCATTACCGGTACAGCTTTACTTAAATCTAAAAGGACTTCAGTGACAACCAGGAGCTCTTAGTCAGATTTTTGTGCCAGACTATGACTACCATTTAAGTCTCCAACGTCAGGTTATATTAAGAGGGCTATAATATACCGTGCCAGTTCTCTTTTCTAATACTGACAAGAAAATAAAGTCTTGGAAGCTTTGTGATGTGGGGAGGCAATAGCAAGTACTGTATCACCGACACTGGTAGCTGAAGTCCTTTATGAAAAGAAAAAAACACTTGGGAGCAATATAAATTTGCTAATAAGCAATGTGGAGAATTGTTATTTCATATGTCAATGTATTTTGCATTGATATTTTGAAAGTTTATTTGAATGTGTTAATTGAAAAAATCTTTATGATTCTATAATCTTAATTAAATCTGGCTTTTATTTTCCCACAAAAACAGCTCTACTGGACTCTGTTATTCTAGTAATACCTTAATGTGGCTTAGAATATGATCTGAAGGAGCAAAATACTGAAATATACTATCTATCTCATTTTACTTCTGTATCATATGTATAGTAACCATAGTATATGCAACATCGCTTCAGTGTAAATACAATAGAGTTATACAGAGGGACTAGCTTTTTTTGCTAGACCACCAAATCAGTAGTTTTCCCTCAAATTTTGCTTCTTCAGCTTTGATGGATAGGTTAGTGAAAAGTTTAAGAGTTGTCTGTGAACCTCCCACTCTATAAAATGGAAAAGAAACTTTCAGTCGTGTATCCAGATTAACTCATCTCAGAAGAACAAGTTTTCAAGATCACAAGTTTCTGAGTCTGATATCAGGAAAAGGCTTTTAAAAGACGCTTTCAGAAATGCGACTAGATCTGCTGTCAAAGACAACCTGCAGTGCCCTCTGAGTCAATGCCACAGCCATTAACACCAGTAATCCGCAGGAGTCATGACCAAATCCAAGACTACCTCGAGAAAGGGTTCCTTCCATGGCTTCAAGTTTTTTTCTGAAGCAACTGAGCGTGCTAGATGCTCTCCCCATAATATCTGAAATATTGCTATTTTTACTTCGTCTTGTAGCCTTGATTATCTTAAGTATCACTAAAATTGCATTGACTTCAGTGGGATTAGTCTCTCCTATACATTACGTACAAACTCTAAGTATGGTTTCTGGATCCATTCTTTAAAGACGGAAAATAGGTACTAATATATAAAGCTGTATCCTTTTATATCTGGAGAATTTGTGCTGAAATTCACTAAAATGCTGACAAGCTCCCTTTCATTTTGCTAACCACCTCTTTAGATAAAAAAGCAAATATTTGAAATACGTATGACTTTCTGAACATTTAGAAAGCCTATGCAATATAGCCAAAGCCCATTAGAGATATTTTTTAATGTAAAAAAAATGAAGTCTTGTGTAAATATTTCCATAATCATCGTATGCAAATCAGAAATATTTTTCCTAATTGTGCTTCAGAGTAATACCTAGTCTTCAGAAGCACATGCTGAATTCTTTGTGACCCTCTTGAACAGGAATGCTGTGTGAAGTATGAGTGTCTGAACTAACTACGTTCTCTTGCATGTCTAGAAATAGAAAGGGGAAGAATTAACAGAGAAAAAATGTTTTTTCAAAGTACAGCTTTTGGTTATGTAGTGGTTGTCTTCTACTAGTACTATCTTTTACCAACATTTTAAAGATAAATAGCGTGCTACTTAACTCAATTTCTTGAAAGATTTCCAGCATTTTTTAATATCTGTGTCTCACATCAAACAGCAATCACAACATTATCCCTTAGCACATTTCCAGTGCATTTCTGAATATTAATTTCTATTGCTGTATAATTTTTACAAACTTCCTTAAAATTGTTTTCTTAGTAAGATGTGGACATTTTTAGGTTACTGCAAATTGTGGAAGAAAAATGTATCTGAAGATGTGAAAAAATTCTCAGTTCATTAAAAATTCTGTGCAAATCCTTTTTCTAGCTTTATTCTTAAAAAATAGCATATAGTTTAATCCTGACTAACAGACATTAGTTTTGTTTCTTTTACTTCAGTTGTAATTTAGAAGCCCGCTTGCTGTCTTTAATTACATTGTTTAATAATGAAGAATGAATGGTTTTCAGGAAAGAAAGACAACTTTGAGTAGTGACATTAATCCTGCTCTAAACCATTCAAGCAAAAAACTCTTATTAAAGTGACAGCAGCAGGCAACACCGAGTCTATGGCTTTCTTTTTTTATTTGGGTTTTGTAGAGCAGGACCTTACAACTTTACACAGGCTCATTGAGATCTTGGCAGCATGAAAAGCACACTGCCATGGAAGAAAATAGAGCCACAAGCTGAGGGTCTCATTAGATTTCTGTCTTGGGAACACTGTCTGAGTTTGAACTACAGGTTTCGATTCTTTTTACTCAGTCCTGATTTTGTGGTAATAAATAAGATATTTAAACTGTTGTGAGCAGCACCTACTACTTGTAATATGAAAAGACCACACAATTTAAGCAAAAATTTTAAAAAGTCTACCGTTTTGCTTGAATTAACATAACTGCGTAATTCAAATGTTCCTCACTATTGAATAAACAAATGCACCATTTTCCTTCTATTTAAAATATAATTAATATTACAGTGTTATTGTTTTTTCATAAATAAAAATATTAGAGATCTGTTTGTAATAATTTCTGAATGGCACTGAAAAAATACAATAAATGATCATTTGGAACATCATGTTTCAAGTAGAGTGGCTCAGGATTTTTTTTTTTTTTCCCATTTATCAGTGGGAAATGTAGTTTCCTTAAAACTGCTGGTTTGTGCAGGAAAATTCTAATTTTAATTTTCTTTCAGAAAAAAAAACAATTGAAAAAAAAGTTTTGATTTAGAAAGTCAGGGTATCCCAAGGTGAAACTATTTCATGTGTCAAATTAACTATGATACTGTTTTAGGTTGTCAAGCAGAAACTTGTGTCAGGTCTTACAAGAATTATAGTACAATTTTCTCAAGCCATCATTCTCTGCATTGTTCTCTCTCTTCAGACGACCTTTTCTGTGATACCCTTCTGCCCTGCAACTCTGAAACGGTGCTTCAGAGGAGCTATAGGTTAACACTGGAGTATAAGCCACAGAGAAGAAAGAGAGCAAAAGACACCTGAATCACAGTATTTGGGGCAGCACAGGCATTGCAGGTATATTCAGTGCATAGACGTCAAGCTCAGCTGAGCTAAGCAAAACCACTTTGGTTCTAAAAGTAAAAACAGTACATTTTGACATTTCTGAATCAAATTTCTTTCTAATGTTCCAGGCCAGTATTCATGATTACAATGATTTTTTGTACAGAGATTTTTCAAAAGGGTTTATCTGAATGCAGTAAAATACTGCTTTTAAAAAGAGAATCATATATTTACTTCTAAGTCTAATGTATCATTCTATTATGCCTTAACATTTCAACATCTTTTTTCTCAGTATTTCATACAGCATGATTTTTGGCACTCACACATACCTCAGATAATGATTTAAATATCTTTTCAGGAAGTTAAGTTAGAAAAAATCATTGTCCATCTTCCAATTTATAGCAATGATACTGCTATCAGTCTGAAGACACTGCTAACTCCAGTGCAACAAAAATAATTTATCATTTATCTTCTGCATATTTAGAACCTGCTTAAGTGGAAATAAAGCAAAATTCTGTTAAACAAAACCATTTCTATGCCCAAGAAACTTTTGTTGAAATCTATGGGAGTGCATGCACTAGTCAAAAATGGGTCAATAGACATAAAGTTCTTTCATATTCCAAGTGCACTGAAATTTTACAAAAAGGAGAACAATGACAATTGGTGACAGTTTTGGATGCACTTTTGTATAATGACAAATCATTCATATTTTCCTGTTGCGACCAGTAGTTAAAGAGCATCTTGTAATTCAGGATACAGCACAATAAGGTAGGAAATGGAACATTCATGAAAAGCCAATTTAGGAAACAAAAGCTGCTTAACTGACATCCACCACATACCCTGGCCTTTGATATTCATCATACACTGTTGGGCCTACCTGCAAATTTAGCTAGCTAGCTGTTTAGCCCTTTTATTTTTCCTATTTTTTACGAAAGCTCTAAAAAATAAAATAAAATAGATATATTACTTACAGGCTTTTTTCTAACTCATTCATTAAAGATTTGATTCAAGCCAGTCAAAATCTAGGTAAAATAAATAGTAATTTTGTACCTGCAGGCTTTGATCTTACAGTGCTGCAGTACCAAAGATCTGGGCGAGGG